GTCGTGTGTGTGTAGTGTGTGTGTGTGTGTGTGTGTGTGTGTGTGTGTGTGTGTGTGTGTGTGTGTGTGTGTGTGTGTGTGTGTGTGTGTGTGTGTGTGTGTGTGCGCGCGCGCGTATGTGCGTGCGTGCACGTAGGCGTTCGTGTGTATGTGTGTGTTTGTGCGCGGGTATACGTTCGTGTGTGCGTGCGTTCGTGTGTGTGTGTGTGTGTACGGTCGTGTGTGCGTGCGTTCGTGTGTGTGTGCATGCGTGTGTGCGTGCACGCGTGCGTGTGAGTGTGTGTGCGTGTGTGCGTACGTGCGCGCGTGCGTGTGTGTGCGTGCGTGTGTGCGTGCGTGTGTGCGTGCGTGTGTGCGTGCACGCGTGCGTGTGTGCGTACGTAAGTGTGTGCGCGTGTGCGTGCGCGCGCGTGTGCGTGTGCGTGTGTGCGTGCGCGCGCGTGTGTGTACGTCTGAATGGTGGCCGACGGCTGGTGACGTTTTTTCTCTGTTTGCCTCTTGCCGCGCATTCTCGCCTCGCTTCCTCCCCCTTCCCCTTCCCTTCCCTCTCCTCCTCTCCCCGGGTTACATCAGAGTGGACAAGTCTACTGCTCAACGGCGGATCTGAGATGACGTGAGTGACGTGACGGATGTAAACAGTTTTTTCACGCAAGCACAATCACCAAGTGCATGGAAATCGCGCCATCAGGTGAACGACTTGGTGAGATTCATATAATTCTGCGAAGAGGAGCGAGTCAACTGAAAGGACTTTATACCGGGAGAGACTTTTATAAGACCACGAACGTAAACTAGATTTGATACAAATTATCTCCAAATTATTCATGCGGACACAAATTGTGCAAATTATATTATCTGTCTTATTATGGTATATTAAATCTCATTATATTCATTATGTCTTATTACCTTGCTCTTAATTGATATGTAACCCATGACAGTCAGATGCTGAAGTAATTATAATGATTATTTTGTTTTTAGTATAATGGCGTGTATGCTACGTTTAGCATATTATGTGCAGTATATAGGCACGTGAATCGTATAAGCTTCTGAAATGATGCTCGTGTCGTATCGTATAGTCAGGTAATGTTCTAAACCTTGCGTTGTGTTATTAATTGACTTGACTACGTAGGACTGCCTAGGATAACTACGTGTGGCTACATGCCACGCCTGAACTACTCGCGGTGTCAACCCGCGCCCGCGGACTCACTCTCTTGTTCCGCGGACTCAACTCTACTTCGTGTCGCGGCGCGCGCTGAGTCTTATATCCATCGCGCGTACGGTACGTAACGTAACGTACGGTGCGTAACGTAACGTACGGTGCGTAACGTAACGTACGGTGCGTACGCAACGGTAGTGTTGTTGCTTAATGGGGAACAGGTCCGGGTCACGTGTCCGGAGAACTGGCTGGTCATAGAGTCAGAGATGCAGCGCGCACTGACCTATATATGTTATAGTGACCAAATCCTAGCGTTGTCGCAACGTACAACCATGTTTTAATTAACTAACAATGGAGTAGAATTTCCGTTATAACATACACCTTAGTAGCGCACAGAGCACGCGCCTAACGCGTGCCCTTACTACGCGGTCGCCCTTCTACGCAGTTAGAAAACCAAGGGCACGCGCTCTGTGCGCTAAAAGCGCAAAAGGCGCTGCGCCAAAGGCGCGTGCTCTGTGCGCTACTAAGGTGTATGTTATAACGGAAATTCTACTCCATTGTAAGTTAATTAAAACATGGTTGTAGGTTGCGACAACGCTAGGATTTGGTCACTATAACATATATAGGTCAGTGCGCGCTGCCTGTACTTCTAAGGCCAATCTTAACCGCGCTCAGGTTTAGCGATACTTAGAGGTTATTTAATAGATAGCTTAAAATCGCGTAGCACGCGTATTATTGCTGCTACACTTCCAGGGTAATAACAGTATAATAATAATAGTAATAGTCTATAGTACTATAGTATAGTAGTAAGTATAATAAGGATAATAGTAGTTCCAGCGTCTTTGAAACGTTGTTGATCAGTTGTGAGGCGTGGCGGCGTTTTTGGTGTGTCCGATGTTCCTCAGCAGTGGTGGTCATTGGCGGCGTCGATTAGTGTCTGAATCTTGCTTATTTTTGGCGTGGCCTTGCTATGAATCTTGCTTATTTTAGGTGAGGCCCTCCTCTGAATCTTGCTTATTTTAGGCGTGGCCCTGCTCTGAATCTTGCTTATTTTAGGCGAGGCCTTGCTCTGAATCTTGCTTATTTTAAGCGAGGCCCTCCTCTGAATCTTGCTTATTTTAGGCGAGGCCCTGCTCTGAATCTTGCTTATTTTAGGCGAGGCCCTGCTCTGAATCTTGCTTATATTTAGGCTACTGGCACCAATTATGTACGTTTATAGATACGCTGCTGCAATACTGCTAACGTTGTTATATATTGTTGTTATTAATTATGTATTTCCCTCCCTTTTTACTTCTATCTTAACTGATCTGTACAAAAGAATGAAAGGTGAAAAATAAATGAATCTGAAATGAATCTGAATCTGTTGTCATCAATACTACATTAGTGAGGGAACTGATCAAGGGAGTGTAGAAACAATGACTCTTGAATGTTACGAATATTATGCTAATGTTTATGCTAGGATACGTGACACATGCACAGTGGACAGCTCCTAAACGAAATTCTTTTTACGCTCATCAAGTTTGCTTATATATGCAGGGCCGTAGGCTGAGCAAATTCTTAAGGGGGGGGCTGAATTTCATGACAACTGTAATGATGAGCGGCGGGCGCAGCTCTTGAGCGACGTCCATAGTGTGGTAGGTGTGGGTCTGAGACAAGGCTTTCACGAATAAGTGACCCAAAAAATCACGTTTAATTTTGCTTCAAAATCTAGGGGGTCATGCAGCTGCCTACCTTGCCCCCCTCCCGAGTAGGGCAGAGGCTATACGGCCCTGATATATGTGTGTAGACAAGACTCCAATATGCCGTTTACCTATTTGCTGGCAACGTCTACCAACTGGTGATGCAGATTATGTATATTTTTTATTTAATATGTTTTACATAATGCATTGAATATGTCAATCACTTGGTGCGATTATGTTCTACCTTTGACGATGGTGGTGCTGTGGTGTGACTATATTTGCTGTTCTCTTGTTCACAGTGGGGTGCTAGTGTGTACGGACGTGATGGCACGTGGAGTTGACATTCCTCAGGTACACTGGGTGATTCAGTATGACCCTCCCACAACCCCCAGGTACGATTAACTGTTCCTGTAGAATCATGATGATATAATATTACAGCCTTGACTTACTTGAGTAGTGCTTCATCTACTAAGGACTGTCGTAAAAAACAAATGAGACTTCAGTAATTGCCAGCAGGTGGAAATATAAGATCATCCAGTACTTATATACTGGTCCCACCTTAAAGTCAATTAAGGCGATTGAGTTTGACTGCTGTGTACCAGACTATATGTTTTATATTATTGCTCGCCTGTTTTAGTGCCTTCGTTCATCGATGTGGACGCACAGCCAGAATCGGACATGCCGGCAATGCTCTTGTGTTTCTGCAGCCGACAGAAGATGCATTTGTTGACTTTATTGCAATCAATCAGAAAGTGAGCATTCAGATGGTTTTAAGACAGTGCGTGGGTTTGTTGTAAGGTCATGAAATTATAAGGATCCATGACGCTGGCCTGATTTTTGATTGGTAGGGTAATGACCTTCATGAAACTAAATATAAATATCTTGTTTTAAGGTACCTCTCCAAGAGATGGCGCCACTTGACAGCCCAGTTGATGTCTTGCCCAAACTACAGAACTTGGCAAAGAAAGATAGGTGAGATGAGTTTAGGCAAGATTAATCATGTCAACATGCTTAATTAAAATGCAGTGCTTTTTCTACAATCAGCCTCTATGCCTGGCATGATAGACCATCAGCTCTATCCAATCATTGTTTCGATAGAATGTTCTAAAGAAACTGTTTGGCAGCGAGGCGCCGCAGAGTCGAGATTTTAGTGTGCACACGTGAAAAATACACTTTAACAGCTTTAGCTTGGTTGGCGTAGCTACAATATTAAAGGCATGATCATCTTGCTTAGTCGGATTGGTTATTTGCTATATAGTATTGCATGTTTCAGCATCAATTACAATTTTGAGAGACACTAGACATGTATGCAGGGTTATTGTGACTTTTTCAGGGCAATCTTTGAGAAAGGAATGAAGGCCTTCGTCTCCTACGTTCAATCTTACGCTAAGCATGAGTGCAACTTTATCTTCAGATTCAAGGGTGAGCTATTCTACGTGTATGCATTATTTTTACTGTAGTTGTAAGATGTCCCGAGATTTGTAGTAGTAATTGTTGAGCTGCATCAAGACCATTTACGATATCACACCCTCGTTGATGGTGGAGTTCTAGCAGGTACATGCTACAGTAATTATTGCTGCAACATGGGTAGAGGCAAAAACCTAGTGATAATCGATGGCTGGGAACAGTGAGGTAAAGGGATATGGAGAAGCTTACTGTTATGTATTATATAAAGTGCTAGCATGCATAATCTTGTAATGCTGTAACTACTGTGGAGTGAGGGCGCACACTCAACACACTGCTGGCAGCTCCAGATCAATGAGAAACGAGAGAACACCCATACGTCACTCCGTACCACATATACGAGGAGAACAGAACGCATGCTATCAACACTCTAACGACTAAATGTGAGTGTATCCGAATCAATGGTGCACAGTGATATACTTACACTCAGCTTGGCCATCCCGGTCTCCATTTCCCCGCAGATCTGGACTTTGGTAAGCTGGCAACGGGCTTTGCTCTGCTGCGCATGCCGAAGATGCCCGAAACGAAAGGACTGCGATTTCGGAACTTTGCCAAGGTCGACGTAGACACAAACACAATCCGTTACAAGTGAGCAACATTGCTGAGCGAAGGCGCAACGGTCGAGTTGCGAAAAAAGCGAGCGAGATTAGCACTGGAATCTGTTGCAGTTCTTTCTGTAGTTAAATGATCGTCAATGTGTGAAACTGCGCTGCTGTGTAGACACTGCAGCGGTCGAAGGCTGATGATTTTCGTAGAGAATCAATTGTTCGTGAAGCCATGTTTTACCTGAGACATCATAACACAGTAGAGCTGTGCCCCGTAGAGGCTGTCCAGGCCCCCTCTTCACGCATGTCTTTTACCTCAGACATCGTTCTGTCACAGGGATAAGAACAGAGAGAAGCAACGGCAGGCACAATTAAAGCGGATGCAGGAGCCGGGCTATGTACCCACAAAGAGGCTTCACAGACAGGTAAGAACACAGAGTTGTGAACTTCCTCCACGTCCCCACCGTCAGTCGCTTCGCCCTACATTTCTCAGGTGTAGCCCCTTCTCTTGAGTTCCGCCTCGGTTCACCTCCAGGTTACTTTAGGCCTTCCTACTCGACGTCTTCCTTGCGGGTTCAAGCTCAGCACTGTGTGTGTTATGTCGGTCGCTTCCTTCCGCATGTGTGTGCCCACCCAGCCCCAATTTTCTTCTTCTCATTCTTTTTTTTCTTTTATATATATATATAAAATTTTTTATTCATTAGCGTATTAATTTAAATTCACCCAAGTTTGGATTTCTTGCACTGACGCCACCATCAATAATCCAGCTCAGAGATTGCGGTGTTTATGTGCACATAATGGCCGATTTAGTAGATTATCCCGAGTGTGAGGCTATGCCATGTTTGTTTATTACCATCATATGATGCATTACCACATATATATATGATGCCAATTTATTTATTGCCATCATATATGTGCATCAACGAATTAAAGGGCCGGCACACCAGGCGATTACATCGGGCGATTACATCGGGCGAATGTAATCGCCGTGAATCGCCTAGATGTGTCCACTCAATCGCCGCGCGATTTTCATCGGCCGATGTCATCGCATAGATCAAACGTTTTGATATTATCGCCGATTTCATCGCCTGATTTCATTCACCTAGTGTCGTCGCGGCACGCGATAACATTGCCCGACTTGTACAATTCATCAGCCCAATCAGAGTTGCTGTCAAGATACTGCTACTTGTTCAATACGTAATAGCGATGTTTTCATGTTTTAGTATGTCATGTCATGTAATAGCGATGACGCACGCACGACGGCATGTGTACGTGGCACACGCAGCGCACACATCATGCTCGGCAACGTGTAGTGCACACGCACGCCGCACGGGCATGCACGCACGTGTACGTGCACACGCACGGGCACGCACAATCTACTAGATGCCACATGCATGCATCGCACGCACGTGTTACCTGCACACAGCACGCACGTACGCACCGCACGGCACCAATGCACACCGTGTACCTGCACACGCACCACGCACGAACGTGTAACCTGCACACGCACACAGGACGTACGCACGCACGCACGCTACGCACGCACGCATGCACGCAGGTGAAAAAAAACGTGCACACGCCGCATGGCACGTACGGCACGCACGGATGCACGCCGTGTACGTTCACACGCACGACGCACACACGCACAGTGTACGTGCACACGCACGCACGCAGCGCATGTAGACCACGTGTAAGTGACACACGCACGCACGCACGGAACGCACGGTGTAACGTACACACGCACGCACGCACGCACGCACGTGACTTGCACACGCACGCACGCACGTGTACGTGCACACGCACACACGCACGCATGCACGTACGCATAAATGCACGCAGGTGTACGTGCACACGCACGCACGCACGTCTACGTGCACATGCATGCACGACTTATTCACCGGCGATTTAATCGCCCGATTTAATCGCATAGTGTGTCCACTCGACTCGCGCGATAGAATCGGGCGATTTTGTCACCCAATTTTATCGCCCGATTTAATCGCCTAGTGTGTCCGGCCCTTAATGTTTGCACTGTTGCATGTTCATGCGACATTAACTTAATTACATAATATACTAATTAATATACCACTGCAGCAGATACTAATTACATGATCATCGAGTAACTACTGGCTCACTTACTACTCACTAACTACTGGATCGTTACACTACTTCAATGTTCTGCAGCAGAAGACGGTTGCCTGGTCGAAGCAGAAGGAGCAACAAGAGAAGAAGCAGGAGAAGAAGATGAAGAGGAAGCTAAAACAGGAGACTGTGTACAACGAGGAGGAGGAGGAGGAGGATCTCGAGGAGCTGGAGAAAGATGCGAGACTCCTGAAGAAGATGAAGAAGGGGAAGGTAGGAAATATGCTGAAGACAATTCGGGACGCGATGGAGATGTCTCAATGCCTACATATTCTCACTTCACATTGCTGTCCCTAATTAAGTCTCTCAACGATGCCAACCGCACAAGCAATCGTAATAGTAAATAGACACGTGGCGCATGTAATGTTACCAGAATGGCACGTGTTTTGACGTATGTTCACGCACAGATCATCATGTAACAGTTGCAAAATGGTCTTCCATGGTCGCAGATATCCCGGGAGGAGTGTGATAGACAGCTCGGTGGTGGGATGGATGAGGATGAGGATGAAGATGAGGATGGTAACAATTGTGCAGCCTCGGACGCTTCATCATGAGCCCTGCAACAACCAACTGTAGACTACAGCATCTAACAGCACAAATGTGAAAGCTAGTGTATCACAGAAAATCGCCGTGAATGACACGCTCGTTTCGAAGGCCGTCTCAGTAGAAGCGTTTCACTTTCACGATTTCAGCTCATTCACATAATTGTTTGTACGTGCAAGTGATCTCATGAGGTATGCTAAGTGTAACAGAAGACGACAACTTGTCTGTGTAGTGTAGCCCCACACGCACGCACAATTGCTGGTAATCGTGCTAGGTTATGCAACCTCGGACTATTCTTGGTAACACTTGATGTTACTTGGCAGTAACATTTAAAGAAATTAAATGCATTCATTTAACGTTCAGGATGTTTATGAGCTCTGACAACGTAATCTTCAACATTAGGCTGTTTATTTGCTGTTAGAGTGGCTTTTTAACTGTTGCTAAGGGAAGGTGCTAAAATTCACAACATCATTGAATAGCATTATCTGTTGTATTGTAAATACTGCTGTCAGTTTGATAACGTGGTGTACTATGTATGTATAATAGTACTGAATCACAGATGGGGCAATCTAAAAATATTTCTTGTTTACCACAACTCGACGTACATTTTAGGCGTGCAGAAAATGCAGAAAATAACTACAAATGCTTTGTCAGCATACGGACCCACCTCTGAAATTCTAATCGTGTTATACTGCAAACAGTAAATCATTTCTCAACAAGAAAGAATAGGCTGGCACGATATATCTTCTCTCTTTGAGTGAAATACGCATTGGGTGAAAAGTAATGTTGAGAAGTTGCACCGTTTTAGTTTTGTTTAAATATCTGTACAAGATGTTTATATTTGTAAATAAAACTGTTTATCAAACCAATAACATTTTCAGTTTTAGTGAGTATTTTCTTTCTACATGACTTATGAGTTTCCTCCCACTGACATGTTTGTCGAGGATGGCAATATGTTGGTCTTGTTTTCACGATTCCTCTTTGTTTAACAGTGTTTTAAATGTGTTTTATCTGCAAGATTGTTCAATCTATCCTATTTACATCTCAGGTTAAAAAATTTGCAACGAAACGTATCCCCAACGTAGTCTCACCGTTAAAACTGCTTCTCATTTTTAGCTCATCTGACGTAGTCAGGTGCAGCTTGTAGAATCGCATGATTGTCCGGCCGTCCGTGCGTCCGTCCGTCAACAGTTGGGCACAAATCTTAACCGCTCGACGTACGGTCACGATATTCGGGACGTGGGGGTTAATCCGAAAACGAGTTGGGATGTCGAAGCTGGGGGTCAAAGGTCAAGAGGTGTAAAAGAAGGGAACATTCCCTCCTTAACTTGAAGTATAGGGAGGAAATGCAGAATTGCGGCACAAATCTAAACGGCTCGACCTAGGCTCGTGATAGTCGGTGTATAGCATCATGGTAGGAAAAGCCATCACTGTGCCGAAATTGGAGGTCACAGGTCAAAGGTCAATGGGCAGATTTTAGACATTTTCTGAGGACATGGTCTGACGGAGCGATTGAAAAAAAATTTGTTTCAGCGGTGACCTACCATTTTTCTGTCTTTATTGAAAGGACCGTGAAATGTACTTTCCGCTGACATGCGAAGAGTAAGTGTCGGATAACCTTTTGACCCTCAAGAGGAGGGTTAAACATTGATTTGTTGACTGTTAACAAAGGACTGAACTGCTTTTGCTATTATTAGAGCCCATACCTGTGTGAATGTGAGGCTACAGTTGCACAGTTTAATTGCAAGGGCAAATGTTTGTCGAACAAGGTTTACTCTCCTTAAATCATATTATTTTCGAAAGCAGCCTGTCTATAGCACACTGAAGGCTGAATCAGTAAATGCTCGTGTGGGTGGGCAAAAACACGGGGCAGCCCATGGCTGGCACGCTTCTAATCATAATTGTTGCCTGCCAACCTGCAATGCACATGTGTCTGCAATGCATAGAGATTAGGTGGGTGCGAATGTAGCTGATATATTTGTTCCAATTGGCTACGAAAGTCAAACAAGAATAAAGAAGACTTATGTATAAGACGTCTTGCTATGCACAAATGAATTTATCAGCAGAACACCAGACACCAGATGAGCCCTGTTGAACTGCGGCACTTGTTATTAATTTCATATATTACAATGCTTAACGTTAGTATTGGTTAAGATCCAAGACGTTCCGAATTTATCCATACCAAGGCATAGGGGAGATAAGTTTTTGTATATCCCCTTTATTCGCTATAGGAAATTATTTTCCTAACATTGGGATTTAAGGCAGAGCACATGCATGTATCCATCATAAGGTAACGCAAATCTGCCACCAGATGTCACCTGTAATTGTCATTTGATCATACTTGTGTCACATGTTTATTTCTTTATCACACACCTGTCACTAGATGGCACCTGTAGCAGTCACGTGACTAGATTGGCTTCTGGTTGATCTATTGCACTGGCACAAACATGTATGCTCAAACAATGTGAGCATTTCATACCAAAGTTCGGTTCTTCGATACTTGCAATATCTCTCCACCCGTATCTCAATGCCAAGAAAAGAATGTGAGTAAATAACTATTTATATGACGTTTGTTATATAGTTTCATGATCTATTTCCTATTTAGCTGAATTTGTATTGGTTATTTTGCAGCAGATATATATGCTGTTTCCTACGATACCCATTATGACTAAAAATACAAATACATGTGCTGATACAGATGTGTGATGAGTACGAATTAAGGCCCACACTACTCGTTAGTGCCTACCGAATAGATTCTACTATTTAGTTTTTACTGAATAGATTCTACAGAATAGATTATACTATTAGACTTATTTAACACCATCAATACATAAATACCCCAGGATACATCAGGATATATTTCCGAACTCAGGCCTATAGGCCTCTGTATTCGGCTCCTGCTTTCTACGTGCTCCCGGTAGAGAAGCGCGGTAGTCGTAGTGAAGACTCTCATTCTGCCACTGACGATCCAGTCGAGCCTCGAATGTTTTTAAGTTAGGTGAGCACACTGTGTTGTCGCTTAAGCTATTCCATGGTTGTACTATGCGGTTGCTGAATGAGTATTTCCCTATGTCTCTGTTTGGTCTATGCATACATAGTTTATATGTGTGGCCTCTTGTGCTACTGACTCTACGTTGTAGGTCTAGTGAGACATCTGGGTCATAGCGGTTGAACATCTTGTAGGTTTCTATCATATCGCGGCGGAGACGTCTATAAGCTAGGGTCGGGAGGCGCAACCTTTTTAGTCTAGCTCTCCTCGTAAGGTAGATTTTTAATAGCTGGTACTAATTTAGTTGCCCTCCGCTGTACATTTTCTAATGCAGAAATCTGTTCGATCTTATGAGGTCTCCAGACGGCAATCCCGTATTCTAGATGTGGTTGAACAAAGGCCTTATATAATAATACAAAGTTCTCCTCATCAATGTAGCTAAATTAATGTTCTTCTGATAAGGCCCATCATGCTATTTCCTTTGTTCACCTTTTCATGGATATGATTGTCGAAATCAAGGTTGGTGCTCACGGTAATTCCAAGGTCAATTTCGTGTTCGACATGTATTGATTACCATTCGACGGGTATTGATTACCATCTGTTTCCAAGTAATATGGCTATTTTAATTGTTTGTTCTTTCCAAGTGTAAGTAGGCCCTACCTCGCATTTTTTCGGATGGAATTTTAAGAGCCAAGTCTCTGACCACACCTGTAGTGCTGACAGATCACATTGTAAAGCTCGTCTGTCATCATCACAGACTATATCTTTAAAGACTTTGGTGTCGTCTGCAAACAGGTAGACGAGAGAGTTTTTAATTACATCCGGTAGGTCGTTTATGTAGATGACAAATAAAATCGGACCCAAGACACTTCCTTGAGGTATTCCACTGGTAACCTTGCCACAGTTAGAGTAATTCCTATTTATGCACACTCGTTGTTGTCTGTTCGCTAGGAAGGATGATATCCATAAATGCATACAATTACAAAAAATATATCGTTAAGGCTTTAGGGAGGAGAGTTAACCTAGGCTTTTTAGCCGCTTCCCTTTACAGATATACCTGCCTAATAGAAAGACATATTCGAAATTTTAGGTGTGGATGTGAAATCTCTTGTTATCAAACCATCCGCGTGACGTGCCTCCAATAGCTGCCGTGCCAGCGGGAATCTCAACCATCTTCAAACATGGTCGACAGCAGTATCATCGTCATCATCATCGCCGGCGTCATTCTTCTCTGTGTCTTCGGTCTCTGTTTGAAACAGTGCAGAACAGGTACTTGTGTTTTATTCGTAGCGTGACGTACTATACGTACATGAGCATGATATTGCCGAATATCTCCCCTTCGTGTCCGCTTTCTTCACTCAAAACT